TGAAACTCATTATTAAATCTATCGATAATAGGAACTCAACTTTGAATCAACAATAAGCTTATCTTTTAGTTTAATGAGTAATAACAAGTTATTATTTACTATCGGTTAGATACTAATAATTAATTTTATACCCTATTATGATAGTATTCGGTGTTTTCTATTATATAAAGGAGAATGAGTATAGACATTTAAAGGAATTTAAAATTTATGTTTAATATAATAAAAACATGTATAATTTCACATATATAAATATAAAAATAATATCTCTTTCAATAAGAGTTAAAATTTTCTCTTGTAAATATTCATGAAAATAAAATTTTAGCACATAGTCATAATAGTTCTAAATAGTTGTGAATCTCTTTAAAACTTTGAATGATATTATATATGTAGTATCTTTTATTTTATATAAAAAAATTTAGCTTAATTTGTGGATACCAATAATTTTAGTAGAGTTCAAGCTCTAATGTTTAACATATTATTAATTAATAATTTTGATATTCATAAATAATTTTATAATAAAAAAACATTTCTAAACAAAGTTTTAAAAGCTCTAATGTTTAGCATATTATTAATCAATAATTTTGATATTCATAAATAATTTTATAATAAAAAAACATTTCAAAATGAAGTTTTAAAAGATTTCAAGATGATTTTTTAAAATAATTTCTGAGATGAAAAATAATTTTATGATGCCATCATATATCTTGGGAGATCTTAATAAAAATTTGGTATAAAAATAAAAATAAATAATGAATATTATTAATTATCAATCTCAACTTTATAATAAAAGTCATCAGACGATAAAAACAATTACTGAGGTGAAAAAAATAGAAGATATTTTCTGGGCTCTCACCAAAAGTGTTGGAGTATCCTCAGAGATATTCACCGTGTTGAGATAAAAAAATGATAAAAAGAAAATCAAAATTATAGGATAGTAGAAGTAAATAAATAAATAATCTTTTTTTCTTGGACGTGCTGACACGTTCCGCAAGCACAAACCAATTTACTACCCTTAAATTTGAATCATGCAAACCAAAATTCATTAATTATAATAAATCTCGAACTCACCCACACAGTTGGTGATTGAATTTGAATTTTGCAGAACTCGGGGTATTCAACTAGAGTGGGCTGAGATCTTCTCCTCTGATAGCAGCGTGGCTCATTTCTTGCTCTTTGTTTTTCCCTTCGCTTTTCTAGAACGGATAAGAAAGGGAGGCGGGTAAAGAGTTGAACTCGGCCACGAAGGACAGTAATCTGAGTTGAACTAACACATTAAGGACATTAATACGACTAGCTTGCCTGTCATTTCTAATAAACCCAATTTATCTCGAATCTAAGGTCCCAACAACCAAATTCGGTTAGTCATCAGCTTTAATTGAGCAGAAAAGGCCAAACCCACCAGCACCAGCAGCTCTGGACTGGATTAAAAGGATGTTTATCATAGCGAAAGGTTTGTTTTTATATTTTAAATATACTTTTAAAAATATTTAAAATTTATTTATTTTTTATTTACTTGATGCACTAATATAAAAAATAATATTTTAAAAATAAAAAATATTATTTCAATATATTTATAAGTAAAAAACACTTTTAAAAAAATCATAATCATATTCTCAAATAAAGCGCAAGAAGATAATTATCATTGCAATTTAGCTATTATATGTTATTTTTTAATTTTATTTTATTTTAAATTAGTTTTTTTAATTATTTGAATAGATTTTTTATTTTAGTCTTGCACATCATAAGATAAAATTTTTAAATAATATAAAATAAATATATACCAAATTGGTGTAGGAAAGTCAAGGCTATGCAAGCATTTTTTAAGAACAACTAAAAATCCAAAACTTGATCATTTAGATGGTGACTAAATGGTAAGAATTTAAAACTAAGAGATTTGTTCCCTCTATAGTTTCAGGTTCGAATCTTTAATTGTTTATATGATTGACTACTAAAAGCTTACCTGATCGTTAAGTTTAGATCTTATAGGATTAGTAGTGATGCATGCAAGCTAACCCAGATATCCACGTTAATCTGAAAAAAATTCAAGACTCATGTCCAAAGTAGATAAATATTTATAAATTTGATAATATAAATAATAAATTAATATATAAATTTGAATTGTGTGTTTTTATGTCAAATTATTAAATTATTAAATAATCAATATTATAGATATACATGTTCGTTATGTTAATATCAATATATGTATATATCATATTATATTAAAAAAATATAAATATTTTGAAAATATATTTATATAATATACATATATATTTTATGTTACATTTTAGCAAGTTTAAGATATGTTTTGATAATATTCATATTATTCATTGAATAACTTATGACAAGAAGGATTGGGTTGAGGGGACATCCATCAAGTTAATATTAAATTGAAATCTATAATATTAATAAATAAAATTAAACATAATTAAAATAATAATTAAAATAATTAGAACCAAACTTAAAATAAAAACTAAATACAATTAAATGGTGGTGAGGGATAAGATTACAAAAATAACTAACCTGCAAAAGATTAAAAGAAACAGTAAAATAGATAGAAATAAAAGAATAAAAATTAAATTTAAAATAAAAATTAAATGGTAGAGATAAAATTGAAAAAATAAACATATAAATAAAAAAAATAGGTTAAAAAACAAATATCACATTAAAAAGAAATACGTAAAAGGCAGCTTGTGTACTTTACTAAAAGGAAAAGTGCGTAAAGAAGAAAGAGAGAGAAATCCATCAGAACCGCACAATCTATCCTCTCCTCTACAACCACACGTTGGTGCTATCTTCCCTGAGGCTCTTCATGGACATCAGAATCAGATCCCCTCCAGGGGAACCAGATTCCTCACTGGCCTTATATTTTAAATATTTTTTTTATTTTTCCCAAGAACCAAATTAGGTTAGTCGTCAGCTTTAATTGAGCAGAAAATTCCCAAACCACCAGCACCACCAGCCCTGAACTGGATTAATCAGGGTGTGTTTAATATTATCATGATTATAGTTTAAAAAATATTATTTTATAAAAAATATTTTTATTTGAGGTTAGTTTAAAAAATATATATATTTAGTTAAAATTATAGTTAATATTGAAATTGAATAAAAAATAATTTAATATATTTAATTAAGAATACATTTGAAATTAAAATTATAAAATAAATTAAAATAATATTATCATAAATAAAATTGAAATTACAAGATTAGTAAATTTAATTTACTTTAAATTATTTTAAAAAATAAAAAAATTACTATTTATATTCAAATAAAGAGCACGAGTTAAATCAATTAATTACACTGATTTACCCTACCAGCATTCACCTGTGTTTTTTCTTTAATTAAAAGGTAATATCTATAGCTGTGGGTGAACCTGCTCGGTAACCATATCACTAAATAGCATCTAAAACATGTTTATTATTGTGCATATTTTAAAAATAATTATAATTACACTCTCAAATATACTATTAACATGTTATATTTTTTAATTTAATTTAATTTTTTAATTGTTTGAATAGATTTTTTATTTTAGTCTTACACGGCATAAAGTAAAATTTTTAAGTGACATAAAATAGATGAAAACCAGATGGGTGCAGGAAAGTCAAGGCTATCCAATCATTCTCTCAGAAAAACTAAAAATCCAAGGCTCATGTCAAAGACATGACTGGAGTAGATAAATCTCTATAATTTTGATAATATAAATAATAAATAGATAAATTAATATATAAATTTGAATTGTATGTTTTTATATCAAATTATTAAATTATTAAATAATAAATATTATAGATATTCATGTTCTTTATGTTAATATCAATATATGTATATATGATGTTGTATTAAAAAAATATAAATATTTTGAAGATATATTTATATAATATAAATATATATTTTATTTTAAATTTTAGTGAGTTTAAAATATGTTTTGATGGTATTTATATATTATTCATTATTCATTGAGTAACTTACCCATTTCAAGACAAAAAAGATTAGGTTGAGCTCGCATCCATCAAGTTAATATTAAATTACAATTTATAATATTGAAGGATAAAATTAAAAATAAAATTAAAAAATAATAAAATTAAAAATCAAAATAATTAGAACCAAACTTAAAATAAAAACTAAATAAAATTAAATGATGAAGAATGAGATTACAAAAATAATTAACTTATGAAAGACAAAAAGAAACAATAAAATAAATAAATAAAAATAAAAATAAAAATTAAATTTAAAATAAAAATTAAATGATAGATATGAAATTAAAAAAAATTATAAAATAAATAAAAATAAAAATAAATAAATATCACGCTGTAAAAAGAAATAAATAGAAGGCAGCTCGCGGACTGTTCTATAAGGAAAAGAGAGTAAAGAAAAAGGGGACAGATATCCATCAGAACCGCACAATCTATCATCTCTCCTCTACCACCACACGTTGGTGCTTTGTTCCATTAGCCATTCACAGACCCGAGAACCAGATTTCTCATTGGCCTTATATTTTAAATATTTTTTATTTATAAATATATTAAAATAATATATCTTTTATTCTTTAAATTTATTTTTGATATTATATCAAAAATATGATTTATTATTTTAAATTAATTTAAAATAAAAAAATTAAATTTTAATAAAAAATATAGATTAAAACTCGATACCAAATTAAAGTTGGCTAAACAAATCTGTAAATACAATATTTATTTTTCCCATAAAGTTTCCACCCCTTGAGCCAAGGGCCTTGATCTACCAACCAGTCTTTCTGCTATTTTATTCGTTCAACATGATTCTCTTCTCTGCATACCGCAAATATATATCCTCTAGCACACGCGCACAATTCCGGTTGCTGAGGCTGGATCAATTACTTCATCAGGATCCACCTCTAAAGTCGGTTCGCCCAAAGCAGTGCAGGAGGTGTGGTTCATTTCATACATTTCTCCTCTCCTTACTGCTTCCTTCATTCTGTGGTTTCGAGTTCCCTTTGCCATTCTTCTCCGAAGTTGGCTATTGTAAACAATGCAAAACTTTTACCTCAACCTCCTCTTTGCTTTCTCCTTCATAACCTTCTCCATTTCCATTATCGTTCACAAACATAGATCAAAATTCAAGCACTCTAACCTTCCTCCTGGCAGTTCAGGCCTCCCTTATATTGGGGAGACCCTTGAGGTCTTGTCGACAGGATGGAAAGGCCATCCTCAAAAGTTTTTCCTTGACCGTATAGATAAATATGAATCACAAGTATTCAAAACAAATCTTTTCTGTCAAACTGCAGTAGTCTTATGTGGTGCTTCAGGTAACAAGTTCATGTTTTCCAAAGAGAACAAGGTTCTTAAAGCCTGGTATCCTGACTTCGTGTGCAAAATATTTCCCTCTTCAGCTCAGAGGTCACCCATTGAACAAGTTGATCGACTGCGCACTTTGCTCCCTGAATTTTTGAGACCTGAAGCCTTGAAGAGATACGTTGGTATCTTCGATACGGTTGCCGGAAGACACTTTGAATCAGAATGGGAAAATAAAGAAGTGGTTGTGTTCCCTTTGGCAAAGAGCCTTACATTTGGGTTAGCTTGTCGCTTGTTTCTTAGCATTGAAGACCCCGACCACATTGCAAAACTTGCTAGCCCATTTAACCTTGTAGTTTCCGGTATTTTTTCTATCCCTATTGATTTACCTGGAACTCCACTCAACCGTGCCATCACGGCCTCAAACTTTATTAGAACAGAGCTTTTTGCGATTATTAAGCAAAGAAAAAAAGATCTAGCAGAGGGAAAGGCAGCACGCAAGCAAGATATATTGTCACACATGCTGTTGGCATGCGATGACAAGGGAGCATTTATGAGTGAGCTAAGCATTGCTGACACAATTCTTGCACTATTAGCCAGTGCACATGAGAGCACCAGTGCGGCTTGTGCATTCATTGTCAAGTATCTTGCTGAGTTACCTCATATTTATGAGGGAGTTTACAAAGGTACGTGTTGTTCATAACTCCATACTCTACCGTACAAATATCTTTATATAGAAATCTCTAACCAACAATTGAGTTACATATAATTTTGTTTATAATTGTATTAGTAGGTGAAAATAATAATATAAAATCATCCATCAAGTTTCTCTTAGCTTAATATTCTATGTTGAGATCTTATTTGATCATCTAACAATTTAATTTTTTAAAATAATATGATTCCCCCCCCCCCTCACAGTAGAGTCCTTTTGATTAAATATTGATGGGCTTTCATTGATTGATGTATAATGGTGAGCAAAATAGCGTTTGACTGTTTTTTCTTTCTCTTGTCAATAGAGCAAATGGAGATATCTGAAACCAAAGCTCCTGGCGACGAGTTGTTAAACTGGAATGACATTCAAAAGATGAAATATTCTAGGAAAGTAATTCGTGAAGTGTTGAGACTTTGTCCAACCTTTCCTAATGTTAGAGAAGCCATCCACGACTTCGATTTCAATTGTTTCTTAATTCCGAAGGGTTGGAAGGTAAGTTTCTTTCTAACTATTGTTTGTGTGTTCTCTTTCCTTTTCTCCATGCCTTATCGTTTTCCAAGTTTATCATCAACAAAAACTCAAAAACGAATTTAAAATTAAGAATGGGTCGTTAGTTTTTTAAAAGATAATGTAGTTAGTTGATGCTGGAAGACTCTATACTATAATTATTGGGTATTGATTGGTCCAAGGATCTAGCAACATCAAAATTTGACCGTCAGAACTAGCCACTACAAAGTTTGACAGTCAGAGTCAGAGGCTCATTATTACGCTGACAAGTCTGCTGATGATGCCGACATTCGACAGTCACAATCATTCATCACAATTTTTCTTTGTGGGCATGCATGCAGGTGTATTGGAATGCAAACTCGACGCATAGAAATCCAGAATACTTCCCAGAACCCGAAAGATTCGATCCTTCCAGATTTGAAGGGAACGGACCAGCTCCTTACACATTTGTTCCATTTGGTGGAGGACCCATGATGTGCCCTGGACATCAGTTTGCTCGAATAGAAATGCTTGTTTTCATTCACAATCTGGTGAAAAGGTTCAAGTTTGATAAATTTGTTGCAGAAGAGAAGATAGTGTTTAATCCGATGCCAATACCTGAAAAGGGAGTTCCCATTCGCCTCTTTCCTCACAGGCCTTAGGGAACCAGATTCCTCTCCCCGCGTTATCTGCACTTTCAAGCAAAGGGAAAAACAAATGTCAACAAATTGACAAGATCGAGAAATCATAACCAACGATTTGTGTTCTGCTACTGTGTCTTGAATCAACATGTTTATCTATCTTGTTGTTCCTGTGCCTTGTTAAATTACTTTTAATCGTTTGTAATATCTTTATGAGATTCTTGATATGTTTTTCCATCATTTTATTTTGTGTAATTCCTGCTACTTAGCGAATTAGATATGGTAGAAAGTAACCATATAGGACTTAAAAGGAGTAGTTTATAGGGAAGTGTAGATTTTGGTGTGATACTATTATATATTTGACTATAAGTAGCCACTGAGATTCACTTTTAGGATTGTCCACTACAAAATATCGTAGCTACCCTATGAAGTTTTATTAATGATTTTGGTTTGATCGTCTATCTATGAGTGATAAGTAGTAAATAAATACAGCTTAACCCCTTGAAATGTGAACAGCTCTCACCAAAATTTGCTTGTAATAGTATCCTTATTTGTGATAATATTTCCTAGTAGTCCATGAACTTAAAAATATAATGTGTAAATACTTGTGCTACTTGAATTGAATTGTTGTATAAATATGCTATTTGAATTGTTATGTAAAGATGAACTATGGCTATAAAATGTTTATATTTGGACAACATATCCATCATAGTAGGATAACAAAATACATGTTTGAGATATGAAGGCCCTCTATGAAGTCCACAGAGATAGAAAATCAAGGTCATTCATAAACAAATAGTAAATGTAATAACCCAAAAGGCCTAATTAATTTTCTTGGTCTTGTTTTTTTTTTTGCAAGTATTATACTACCCCTTTGTTCTCATCTTAGGGTTTTTCCATATGATGAATGACCAACTTTAGGGTTGTTGTAACATCCTCAACATTTAAAATATTATTTAACATATTCAAGGTTATATGTAAACATAAAATCAAAGATTTTTTTATATGATTTCTCTATTGAAATTTCAACAAAATTTCCTTTAAATTCTAACATTTTCAAGTGTCGACGTCATTAATCATGCATACAAATCACAATTTAAGTTAAGATCTAACATCATTATTTTTGACATCTCATTTCACATTCCGCATAACAATTATCACACATTTAGCTTATAAAAATTAACATAAACAAGGTATAAAATTAGTAAATTAAATCCTATACATTCCTATTTATAGTATAAAAAGTAAGATTATACATTAATATTCAACAAAACTAGAGGATTTAAGTTAACACATACATTTTAATATTAAAAGACCTTATTAAAATTACATTACATATGATAAGAAGTTATGATATTCCTAGATACAACATTAAAGAATACCATCTTAAGTAACAACAAGTAGTCTATTGCTAGCTCAGCTCAAACTTGTAAGGATTTGTAGTCAAATTAATTTAGATTGTAAGAAATAATATCTAATAATTAATATATCTAGTTGGAATAATATTTATACAAAAATCATTAATCAACTCAAGGTTCATCATGCTCTGGATTGAGTTTAAATGTGTTGTTGTTGTTATTGACTTGTCAATTCTGCAACATAATTAATTGATTTTTTTTTCCTTAAAGGCTTGTTCTTTAATTTGATAGTTTTGATTTTGAAGAAGCATGCAAGAACATTGAGATTTTTAAAAGATAACGTTGTTAGTTGATGCAGTAAGACTCTATACTATAATTATTGGACATTGATTGGCTCTAGGATCTAGCACCATCAAAATTTGACTGTCAAAGTCAGAGGCGCATTATTACGCTGACAAGTATGCTGATGAAGCCGACTTTCGACACTCACCATCATTCATCCCAATTTTTCTTTGTGGGCATGCAAGCAGGTGTGTTGGAATCCAAACACGATGCATAGAAATCCAGATTACTTCCCAGAACCTGAAAAATTCGATCCTTCCAGATTTGAGGGGACCGGACCAGCTCCTTACACATTTGTTCCATTTGGTGGAGGACCCATGATGTGCCCTGGACATCAGTTTGCTCGAATAGAAATGCTTGTTTTCATTCACAATCTGGTGAAAAGGTTCAAGTTTGATAAATTTGTTGCAGAAGAGAAGATAGTGTTTAATCCGATGCCAATACCTGAAAAGGGAGTTCCCATTCGCCTCTTTCCTCATAGGCCTTAGAGAGGGGAAAAACAAATTTTTTTGTCATTAATCATTATTTTTTATTTTTTATTCACTCTTGTCCAGCTGATTTTTATTTCATCCATCACTTTTATTTTCTCTTCTTGTATCATATCATCTAGTTTTATTTCCTTGTGTTTATTTGTTTAATTCCTGTTATTCCCTTGTTTATCTTTCTTTATGTTGCTGCATTTTAAATTTAATGTTTAACATATTATTAATCAGTAATTTTGACATTCATAAACAATTTTACAATGAAAATCATTCCACATCAGAGTTTTAAAAGTTTTATTTCAAGATGATTTTCTAAAATAATTTATGAGATGAAAAATAATTCTAGAATCCCATCCTTGGGGGATTTTAATAAAAATTTAATATTAAAAAATAAAAATAAAAAATAAATATTATTAATTATTAATCTCGACTTTACAATAAAAATCTTCAAACGATAGAAACAAAGTGGGCTGTGAGCTCCTCGGTGCTTGCTTGCTTCTCTGTCAGCGACGTGGCTCATTTCTTTCCCTTCCTTTTTCTCTTCGCTTTTCCAGAAGGGAAAAAAAAGGGGAGGCGGGTAAAGAGTTGAACTCGGACAGGAAGGACATTAATTTGTGTTGAAGAAACACATTAAAGAATTACACCGCCGCAATACACAGCAGAACCCAACGAGAAGGAGAATAAAAATATCTAGGTAAGGTCCCAACAACCAAAATTGGCTAGTCGTCAGCTTTAATTGAGCAGAAAAGGCCCAACCCACCAGCACCAGCAGCTCTGGACTGTACTAAGAGCATGTTTACCACTGCCTTTGTTCTATTGTTCGTTATTTTTTAATTTAGTTTTATACAAAAAAATATTTTAAAACACGAGTTGAATAAAAAAAACAAAACCCTGTGATTTAATTTTAAATCAAATCATGTATTTAGATACGGGTCAAATCAACCTTCCCACTCCTAATCAAAAACGGTTTTAATCACGTCATAATAACATAATAACATATAATAGACATTTGGTTAGAAATTAGAAATAGAAGAAATGAGTCAAATAAATAAAATATCATTTTACCCCTGAAACTCAATGTTTCCCTTGCAACTGTAGGCGTCAAGATCATCGATGCACAGTAGTAATTCTCAGTATAGATTTTTTTTTTTCATTTTAACATGTTCTAAAAAAAATAGTTTAGAACCGAATTAGACCCGCTATTTGATTTGAATCAGTACATACCAAATGTAGCAATCTATTTAATCAAACAGCAACGTAATTAGATACAGCGGTCAATTCTAAGAAAATTACTTGACTGTGAACTTGAAATTGTCACGACCCGAATCCCGGATTCATAAATGATACATGGATAAAGTTTCCTTTTAAGATTCCATATCTATGTAAACCCAAATTTACATATAAATTTCTCCTGATTCAATCAGAGTTCAACGCATTATTTATAACAAAACTAACTTTATAATATAATTAAATTGTCTTAATACAATAGTTCATATAAATTCATAGTTTTGGAGTACTAACTGAATATAAAGAAAAATGTATAGTTTACAACCAAAAAAGCAAGTTCAGAAGGTTCAACAAAAATGACATGCTATCAAGTTATAAGTCTGAAAAAAATAAATAATGAGAGTATGACTTCAACAACTCAATGAGTAGATAACATTCAAAATACACACACGAGATAATACTACAATAAGAAATATATATACAAGTATGATTTTAGGTTCTTATAGAAATGTTTCTCAAATTGACCATAACAAGAAGATCATATGGTAAGATGATTAGTACTTAAAAGTGTATTTTTATCATGGTTTTATATAATCATTTTGCACTTGAAGTATCAATAACTCCCTAACTAAAACATATTTTATAATAATATATCTAATAATATAAGATACCTTTAATTTGTGGTAAATGTTTATTTTAAATGTAGGCCTATCACATAAATAAAAGGATTGATTGATGACTTTAAGAACTTAAATTGCAAGGGCAAAGAGATGACCAAAATTA